GAGTAAAAGAAATTGGAGAGTATAATACTGAATATTACATAAAGAAAATTGAGATAGATTGATATGAAGTTGTAAAACTTTTCCCGTCTTTATAGACAAAAAAATATATCTGCTTTAACTATATTTAATTTACAAATTCAAATTTTGACAAGATAATTGCATGAACAAATCTAATTTTGTAGATACGTGCACGCTAACTGCGTGCGGCAGCTAAAGCTACAAATCTCACGTAGGCAGCTTTTAATTTGAATTAAATTTTTTTTAATAATAGCTGGACACGGGCCGGACGGGGCTCAGCCCGAGCCTGGCCCGACTCGGGCTTTTTTGGAGCCAAGCCCGAGCCCACGAGCTTTTTTGGCACCCCTACTAGGTTGTTAGATGCCACTGAAAAAAGAATTTTTTTTATTAAAACTGCTTAAGAATTGCTCCCAGATAGGAGTTAATTTCCTCAATTGTTTTTTTAATGATGGGACTATTTGGCACCTAATGGGCAAACAAATCGGTCTTAGGCTATTGTTCCCTTTGTCTACTCGAATCGAATATTTGAAACACCAAGTAGTCACATAATATATGTTCAGCTATTTTTTCTCTTTTTTTGAAATTCGGATTTTCTTACGTAAGAATTAAAGATAATTAGCACATAACGTCCTTACTTTTCATTATTATTGTGAAAAACGTCTCTACCTTTTATTTTTGGACATTTTCACCTTTATTTTCACATTTCGTTGCGCAAACGGTCATTTTCATCTATTTTCTCAATTGAAAGTTTGAAATGACGAATATACCCTTCTGTTTAAATAAAATGAAAAGAAAAAGAAAGAACTAATTGCAACTATAGTCCCAATTTTTTTTAAAAAAAGTGCAAACGAGTTCCAAATAATGGTTAAAATGTTAATTAGCACATAATTTTCATACCTTTCACTATTATTATAAAAAAAGTCACCAACTTTCATTTTTTTAGCATTTTCACGTGTAATTATATATTTGATTGCGCAAATCATCATTTTTATCTATTTTCATCCAATTTCTCAATAAAAAATTTTAAATGGCGAATATACCCTCTTATTTAAATAAAAAATAAAGAACTAATTGCAATCATAATCACAATTTTTTAAAAAAAGTACAAATCAGTCCCAAATAAATTATTTAAAAAATAAAAAAAAATTTCTTAAAAAAAATGTGCAAAGAAATCCCAAATAAGTTAATAAAAAATTAGAAATTAATTTACTTTATGAAAAAAAAAAGTGCAAATGAGTTTCAAATAAATTATTAAAAATTAGAATTATTTTTTTAAAAGAAAAGTGTAAACAAGTCCCAAATAAATTATTAAAGAATTAGAAATTAAAAAAATATTATTTTTATTTAAATATAGGAGTGTATATTTATTAATTCACAATTCTTTATTGANACCTACCGGTGACGGGGCTGTTGCTACTAAAATGGGTGTACCCAGAACGGGGTTCCGATCTCTAAATGGATCTGCTATAGCTACTCGATCTCGATCAAATGGCTTTGGATCTGTCTCTACATCTGGAATATTTGTAATAAGATATGTAACTCAATTTCGTTCTAAAACTGGAAGGGATGCTATTGGTGATGTTCTCGTTATCATCGACAGATAAGCACCGCGAGGTGTGAAGCGATCTCGTACCAAATTTGCCGGTCAATTTACTTAAATTGCTTTAAAAAAAAAAGCGTACGGCAACGTTACGAAGTGGTCTTGGGCAACAAAAAAACATTGCCGTAGACCTACGGCAACGTTTTTTAAATGTTTTGGCAACGTTGCCGTATCTTTTTACTCTACGGCAACACTTCGATTTGCAACACACGTCCAAACGTTACAAAAGGTATACGGCAACGATACAAAAGGTATCTTTTTTTGAACGTTGCCGTAGGCTGTTTTTGTTGTAGTGTAACCAACGATCTCCAATTGGTCTGATTTGAATGTGATCATGTAATCCTTAGTTCTCTATAGATACTGAATAACCTCTTAGCTGCNAACTCTATTTATTCTGGTGTGGATGGCAGGCAGGCCTATATTCCTTGGTTTTAATAGGACTCCTTACAAGCGGTGTTTCTATCTACTATTATCTAAAAAGAATCAATTAGAAATTAAAAAAAGAAATTCTTTTTTTATTTAATTATGAGAGTATATTCGTCATTTCACAATTTTTTTATTGAGAAATTGGATGAAAATTGATAGAAATGATGATTTGTACCAAATGTATAATTAAGGGTGAAAATGCCAAAAAAGAAGAAGGTATGGACGTTTTTCACTATAGTAGTGATAGGTAAGGACGTGCTAATTATCTTTTTAATAATTTTTTGGGACTCGTTTGTAATTTTTTTAAAACATTTGGGACTATAAGTGCAATTAGTTCTTTCTTTTTGTTTTTGTTTTATTTAAAAAGAAGTGTATATTTGTCATTTCAAAGCTATTACTTAAAAAATGAATGAAAAGTATCTTTTGCGCAATGGAATGTGAAAATAAATGTGAAAATGCCAAAAAATAAAAGGTAAGGACGTTTGCACAATAATAGTAAAAGGTAAGTACGTTATGTGTTTATTACCTAAGAATTAATATTATCTTTTTAAAACTTATCTGGGTGGAAGTCAAGAGTTCTGGGATTAGGATGGACTAATTAAGTACAAATGCTCTATAAAAGGTATTGTGAAAGACCACCCTTCTGCAACTAGGAAACAAGAAAACAGAAAACTACAACAAAATCTAGATAGACCATGTCTTTTTAAACTGTCTACTGTAAACAATTTGATGAAAATGTCCGTTTTGGCTTACATAATCTCAGGTTTGTCATTCAAAACAAAAGCTTTAGTTCCATAAAAAATTTACATATTGAGTTATTAACTTATTTTGTTTACAAGTAATTTGATTTAATTTTATTAATAGGCGAATTTAATATTACACTTTTTTTACTTTCTCATTTTCATCCTATCCTATAATGAGAAAAAAAGTTAAAAATTTTAAAATCTCACAAATGCCCCTCATTTGAATTTAGACGAGGGAAAAAATTGAAAACCGACATTGCACTATTCACCTTCTTCATCATCTTCTACACACTAATTCAAGGTTAGTTTCTCTTCTAATGGTTCATATTTTATTACTTTAAGAATGAGCAATTTATAATATTCGATTTTTACTTGTAATATTGATAAATCATGTTATTTATGCGTTTAATACATGTATTGAGGTATATGTTGTTGACCTATGGTTAATTTGAAATCTCAAAGCTTTGATTATAACAAACAAGTTGGTCTTATTTACTAACGAGTTGATTTCAAGTGAGTATAGTCTTTCAAACGCGTACAAAGGAAAATTGATCAATGGTCAAAAGCTATCATCACAAATCAGAATCTTAAAAGAAGTCAAGATCGAAGCCACATTCAAGATATGAAGAGCCAAACTTCGAAACAATATCAAATACTCGTTTCTTAGCTAAGAATGTTAAGGTACTAACACTTTTGATATATGACATGAATGACAATAAGCTCAAAATCGTTCCATCCTTTAAAAACAACTTGGTGCATTAAAAAGGCGATGATTTGATCAAGTGAAAAATGAATTTTAAAA